ACAGGTTCAACCAAAAAAGCATGATCACTAAAATGTAAGTTTTAGTACTATATATATTATATATACAAAAACTAAGGAAATAATAAGATTACCGATTGATATTAATTTCACTGTCATGTTTTTGGTCCAAACTTTGATTACCTTRTAGTCTCCACCTAGGTACATTTCAATTGGGATATTATTTCCATCCACGACGATTGACTTGTCTTTCACAATTTTGTTCACATCTGCAAAGATCTTAGCACAAGATGTTTGTAAAAGTTCATATGATTCCTTCCCCTTGATCACTGCAACAGTGTGATTCCCTGTAAAAAGAGAGAAAAATAAACAGATGCACAAAGCACATACAATTTCCCTAAATACTGAAAGAAATTGCCTTTTGAGGACATAACAGCATCCTGGTCATTTAAAATGGAGAAAGACAAGATGACAAAGCCAGTAATCCTAGACATTTTAGCTCCATCCCCACTCAATTTGATTTTATAAGTTGCTGGAGACTGACTTTCATTTCCTTTTCCTTGGTTTCTGATCGTCTGTGTCGAAAATATTGAAAACATATTAATTAAGTTGCAGATGTTTTTGAAGCAAGGAGTGTTCATTTAATGTAATCAAAGCTGACAATGAGGGCTAGTGAATGAATTGTGAATAAATTGGTTGGTTACCTCTTGATTTTATATGAGTTCGAGATAAATATTTGTAGTACTAACCTCATGTTTGCGAATTGTACTTCGAAGCTCATCCGTAAAATTAAATTGAGCTCCCTCTAATTTCCCAGGTGTTCTCTCTATGTGACAAAGCTCATTCAATGATTCTTTGCACTGCCTTATAAGTCCCTCGCCAGCAGGTGTAATTGTCAATTCGTGATAGGTTGCATCTCTTATTGAGAATTTATCCTGAATAAACAAGACTTGTTTGATTATGTCTCTTTGTTCTWGCGGGATACTTCTAAAACATTTTTTCACTTCACGATCAGAAGAAGGAAGGACATGAATTTCCCATGAATATCAGTAAAGCATGCTGTCTTGATTGATAGACCATAAGTTTCAGCAAACCATAAGCTCTTTTCAACACGAKTGTTGAGTTCCCTCAATTTTCTTCTTGGCTGCCTTTTCCCTACATCAGGAATGATTTTTCCACTATTCCTTACATCTTCATGTAGCTCGTTCAATATATTCCTTGAGCTCCTTGTTTTTACTTTTMAATTGGTCATATTCGTTTTCCACATCATCCAATTGTTTTTCAATTTCAGCTTTACCGAGAAGGGCATCTTGGAGYTCCAGGTAAAGTTCTTCGCACCGCTGTTCTAGCTGATTTTTGTCCTCCACAAAAGTCTTTCAATTTCTTGCAAACGGTTCACTTCCTCTTCTAAAACGCCAACATTAACTACTTCATTGTTACGAATGGCAATTTGTCTGACTTTACCAAGATACTCAACTTTGGTACGCCCTTTGAGTTTTCTAAATTTT